AAGTTGCTATATCAATTTATTATCGTGCCAATGGCTATTAATCCAGTTCAAATTGCTTGCTGACCAAAACACTATTACACGAATCCACCATCTGCATGCTGATGTTTGCGGAATACTGTACCCTGTCTGCCTAGGTCTAAAGACTTAATACGGTGGCTGACTACAGCGTTCAATTCAGTAGCGTTTTGCTTTGGTTTAAATGCAAAATTCCTCTCTTTTGTCATCAGGATCTGAGGAATTGGCATAAAACACCATATGTTATGCCAGATATCTGTAAGATAGCTTGTTAAATGAATTCCCGATATCTTGGTAACATATTATCGACCCCTGTGATGCCTGATACTGAATTAAACACGCGAACTGCAAAATCCATTAAGACGGTTGGTTGTTTCGAGAAGCGCGCCTGCAGCACTCGTCATATGGATGAAGGTATAAAGATTGCAGCATACCAGGCTGTTGATCTCACTATTTACACCTATGACACCTGGACGGTGTATAAACGGTTAAATTTAGCAAACACAGCTTCGATCATGTGTGCTTGCAGAACATTTGGACGCAAGTGCTCTGGCAGGATGAATGTTGTTCATTGTCATCGCACTCACCGGTTCATGTGATAGGAGTAACCATCTAAAACCTAGGTAAAGTCATCCTATTTCCAATGACTACTAGGCTGATATTTCCATCCCATGTGTGACAAGGACATTAACTCCAGCGTCCATAGAGAGCACAGCTAGACCATCGGTTGTCAACTTGACAGCCGTTACTGGGCGACTTCCGGTAAGGTTGTAGGTTGCTATACTGACTGAGGTGCTAAAAGTCTGAAAAAAGATAAATCGACGGTTTACACCGTCACATCGGTGCTAGACAGGTACCATTTGCTGGTGCTGTTTCATTGGCTTGCTCCACTTTTCTGTAAACCGTCAATTGGTCTTGATCCCTCCGTTTTTCATCGGCTTCATGAGCTTGCCCATGGCCCCGATTAAGCAGCCTGCAATACAACAGTGCCTCCAAAAACACAAGACCAAATTTGGCAGTAACAAAAGTTTGAGATCGAAGTTGTCGAATTAAACATTAGCTCTTTTTGAACAGTCTGCTGGGAGCATAAGTTTGTAACTTCTCTTGCACGTTGTGGCAAAACTCCTGCGTGGTTTTAGTCTTTTTAGGAAATTCGCGGATTCCCGAGGCTGGATAAACTATCATATTACAGATATTGGTCTTTATTGATTGTAGTGTCTGATATTAATTTGGGAGTAACAAATATTGATGATTTGGGCAACCTAGGTGGGTCTGGAAGATACGAGTTAGTGTTTTGGTTTTTTTTCTGAAAACAACAATTGTTTCCAATGACATTTTGGAGGTTTTGTGCGTCAGTGACTCAAAAGCCCACAGGAGGCCTCTCTTAAGTGCATAAAGACTAGAAAACCTGAGATAATTTTGTGTCACCTCGCATCTGTATTCTATATGCCGAATTCACTTGAAAGACCTAATACTGCCCCGAAATTCACTTCTTGGTTGAAAAAATCGGTTTTTAAGACCAAAGTCCGTTTTTATGTATTCAGAATTGAGGAACGCAAAGTACCTAGGTGAGTATTTGCTCAGTTTAAATTCTACAGACGTACATATCCCATGAAGGTCACTATCCTATGAATTCTTAACATAAATAAGTGAAAATGATAACGGGAAACCTACGTTCCGAAGATGAAAACGATATAAATAAGAATTTTACTGTGCAAATAAAATTATGTAATAGTGGCTGATACTTTTTTCTAAATAGCGTGTACACGCAAAAAGGCTGCTTATATCCCACACTCGAGTGTTTCTTTGAGTGTTACAAGGACGACAAAATCATAACAAAGAATTCACTGAAAACATTTACAGGGTTACGCTTGTTCTGGCTCGTTAAGCTGCAGTAATGGATAAATGGTACACAAACAAAATAACGGCTCATTGGTATTTCACCAATATGACACAGAAACAGCACCGTACTCACTCATTCATCTTTGGTTAAAATAACTCGTTATCTCTGGTCACGAGCATATCAGTTGCGCAGGCTTTTTGTTACATTGCAGGAACCGGAGTCGGTGGAAAATAATTTACTCTATACATTCCCCAAAAAACACACTAACATTAACATATTGCAATGCATCTGAATTGGCAAAAATAAATTTTATTGACTAATGGTGTAAAATGACATGAGATTTGATGATCGTTAAATGGATGTACTTAAAAATATCTTCTACGATGTATACTGCTGTTTCTCGTCACGAGTGAAGGTGTGATTCCATTCTCCCAACGAAGGGTGAGGTGACAATTCATGGTTTTTTGTCCGGTTACAGAAATTTCGAGGAACACTCGACTGTCGCTGGTTAGTAAGTGCCGACTACAACAAACTCGTCTAACTGAAAGATTGCACGTCAACAGTCGACGCAAAACATTTCAACACAATCGATAGCCTGGAATTGTCTTAGTGAAGTTTACCACCTCGTTTGTAAGGCAGCATTATAACGTAGAATGCTTCAAGTTCAACAGCCTTTTATATGCCATTCAGAGTAGAACAGTGAAAGTAGAACCGAAACTATCGCCTTGAACATTTTTGCAATGTTGCTTTGATAATCGCTGAAGTTGCTGCTATAAGGGCTACCCAAAGTTTATCCTCATAGTGTTATACCATAAACTGTGATGGATGAAGTGTTACGTAATCGCGAAGTACCTTAAAGGTTGGAACACTGTCAGAGTAGACTGAAAATTAGTCAATTCAAATCCTGAAGCAAGTTTCAAACGGTTAGCAAAGAATCTTTGAACACATGATATGAACGTTATTGGTGCATGTAAGACACGCAGGTGGGTGTGTTCTTTCAGAGCATCAACTTCTAGGTGAGCGTAGCTTGATCTCTCGACTCATCACTTGTCCTGGTGAGGAATGTAGATGGCGCGCAAGAAAGCGCCTCACAGAATTTCAAGACGAATCTGCAGATATTTGAAACACCGATTAGCAAGTTTGATGTCCATTAGTCATTTACAAGAGGTGGGTACGCGGCGGAATTGAAAATAAGGTATTTGGAACGTCTATGGATGAGGTTGAAAAGTGTCAGACTTATCTGCCATCACCGTACGTCAGTTTGGTGGTTCATAGACAAACGATTCATCCTGGCTTCAGAATGTTTCAATTCGTCAAATGTTCTACTTTCCCTAATCTGGTCACAACCATATACATATCCACAACATTCACCCTAGTGCATTGGTCTTTGAATTATTCTCTCGTTCACACCCGACGATCTGCTTATGGTAATATGCTAAACGAGTGAAGCACGTTTTTATGACTCCTTTGGAAAATCGTGTCAACCGAAAACGGATAATATCAACATTCATTTTGCTTGCTGAAACATCATAATGTTGTTGATTGTCGCCTTAAGACTGCGCTTCCAAACATCTCCTTGAATGCACAAAAAGGAGCTTTATTTCGAGTGGTCCTTGGATAGAGCAAGAAACGTGATGTAGTGCAAATTTTTGACGCGAGCAAAATCTGCCCAGAAGATATTTCAGTTAACCTGACAGTTGGCGAATTACCCATTCTTGTTCATCCTCAATCATCTGCCTTATCTAGGGGGATTGTTTCTGAAATATTTTTGTGGTCCAGCCGTTTTTGGATAACGTATAGGCTTTGGTGTCATATCCATAATTAGGTGAGTAAAGCTCATGTGGGTGCCTCCTCAAACTATAAGAAACCCACAACTTAGATCATTCCTTTTCATCCGAGTTCAGCATTGAGCCCTGTCCAAGCGTAAAAGAGATACTTGTTAGTTCCACATGGCGATTTCTTGCTTACCAAAACCACTTGGCAGGTGAAATTGTCTAAATGACACCATCTGATAATCTTAAATATGGTGCTCATAAATCCATCTTCATATTCCATTGTCTAGAAGGTCCACTATCGATCCAAAAGCTACAACAAGGAATTTTTAGTTAATTTGTTTTTACATAAGAGGTCAGTCCAGTTCGGTCTGAAACCAATACAGCAATAAACTAAGCGGTCAGGAATACTAAACAAATTTTGAATGACAGCCAACACTAATTGAAACGTTCACTGTAGAGTACATCGAATGTTCTTAGTAGCGTATGATAATTTACGTTCAGGACTTCTGTTCCTAATACAGTCCCAAAATCTCTGTAGGCTTCGGTCGTTACGGAACGTAAATGATCACTTGGTAAAATGCTGCTTTGAGGGCTAACAAGCCTGTGGATTTCAACTGAACCTTTTAATCATGTTCATTTTAGCTTCATCAGAATGTCCGTTGACATTGATGTGCTCCGTAATTGCAACAGGCGTATAATATCGTCTAATAAGTTTACAGAAATAACTGCTTTGTGTCTTCCTTTATGAGCTGCTTCTCACTACTGCGACCACCAGTTTGGTAGGCAGTTTACTGTTGACAGTTGCATCAAGAAACATGATGGAATCAAAGAGTTATTTGACCTGAGTGCAAAGTGAATCTTCTTAAGTTCCTTATGAAATGATTTAGGATGTAGATTTCTCTCTGTGTCTCATCCACATCCATTATGTATATATATGTCATAATCAATGAGATTTCTTAAAAATTTCAGTTGCATGAAACAAAACTTTGTGGGAGTGGAACACGAGTAGCTGCATTTTGAGTTAAACTAGGATAGCGGAAACGTGCCGGGGCTTGCAGTGCGCTGAATTTCGACTACAAATATTACAATCATGGCAACTTGGGAGTCCGTAAACCTCGTTTCATATGGCACTGGCAGATAGGCACAAAGAAAAATGTTTCGCCAGAATATAGGGTCGGTGATTAGAAGAACTAAATCCATCCTCCAAAACCATTAGTAATGAATTTGTGACAATTTGTGTGACAGTCTAATAAATAATAAGTGTGGTATTTACCATGCATGGTGTGTAAAATCCCACATTAATTTATAGCAAGGAAGTTATGGGACAGAAACCCTATTAAAAATGATTTTTGTGTATAGAAAATTACCCCAACAGTGAATACTTTGATTCCATACAAAAGATTCAAGTCAGTAGCCAGGTCTAACGGTCGAAGCAGTTTCACCATGCTCCAAGTGTCTCGGACTTCAAGCATTCTCAATGTGAAATGTACGCGCCATGTTAAATTGCTTTCATAGCACGGCTATACTGAAATAGAACAGTGCTTCAGAGCCGACGGTCATACCAAAATCATGTTTTTGTGTCGTGGGCCGGCAAATGACTTGAAGGACGATCGCAATTTTATATAACGAATTTTTCACATGAACCCAGTAAGTTGATTCATTCTAGTGCGAAATACGGTTGATGTGAAGTTTGTTTGTTTTCAGTACTTCAAATGGGTGAATAGCTCTTGAGTCATTGGTGATAAACAAAGCTGCTGAAAAGAACCCGTCATGATTTTCTGCAAAAATGTGGATCATTACATGAGCATCGTTATGCAGGGGCTATGTTTGGGCGGTAAAAATTTGACTCGATCCCAACTACTGACATTCAGATATTTACCTACGGTCTCCTGAACCAAGAGTAAATGGGTTTTCCAGTCAAACCTTGATCGCCCTTCCTTACTTTTTGTCACTCTTCTTTCCTGAATATGGTTATAAATTGTTTTGGTGTCCATTTAGTGACTTACGTGAAACCAAGTAAAGTGTTCATGCTGCGAAATACTGAGTATTGACCTTATTAAGTTTTACTTTACCATAAAGTCTGTACAAAGACCTCAGCCCCAAAATTTCCACTCGACTCAGTGGGACTTCCGCGCATAAAAATCAACCTTTCATCTACAATGTTGTTAATTTCCACTCGACTCAGTGGGACTTCCGCGCATAAAAATCAACCTTTCATCTATCAATGTTGTTGGTGGACTTCAGGGAGCGCCTGAAGTTGCTTGAGTATTTAATTGTTGCGAATTTTTGGCGGTCTTATTAAGATCCGCTTTGTCACACCAAATATTTGAAGTTTCTGAAACAAAGATTCATAAGTATAGCCAGTTAACGACCGTTCATTCAGGTCGGTTTTTCGAAAGACATTATACAACCACGGTACCCAAAAAATAAAACCTTATGGTGTCCACTATCAGAATAGAAAAAACCAGCCTATTTGTTGCAAATAACCTTGGAGTATATTTCGGATAAATCTAGGAAGTTTTCTGCAAAGTTTCTAGAAAATGTCTGCTGGCGCCCTTTCTGGATTTAGTGGACCTTCACGGGAGCAAAACGATTTTTCCATGAAGAAGCTCACTTATTCAGTCAAAATTCAATCTGCGGGAAGCGACTTCCAGTTAAACTCTGTTCGATTTTGTATGAATGAATTTGGTTTTCCATCTGCAGGATCTTCTTTTAGAATGCGGTTGATTGTTCAGGTATGCAGAATTGTAAGTTCCGCTATTGTTAGCATTTTTTTCACTTTGGTGGGCACCGACAAAGTGGTCCTAGGTGAAACAAGAACATGTATTACCTCCGTAAGTAACACAGTTCATCACCATACCAAGCGAGTTACAACACGGAGCATCTTGCCTACCATGTGATTGGTGCGCAGAAAAGGATAAGATATATTTACCGCAAGAGCTGTCGTTTCATGTTTATGGAACTGAAAGTTGCGATGTGCAGATAGGAACAAGATACATATGACAAATTACTCATAATTATGTCGTTCAAGGGAAAAGCTAAACGTGACCCGTTTAAAGTTAGTTTGATTCCATTGATATAAGAGAGGAAAAATGATGCGTCATTTTAGTTTCAGAACACACGTGACTACTACTTTTGGAATTTCTATCTAATGACTGCGGTATAATTTGGTTTAGCATGGAGGCCTTTTATAACGAGCGATTTGACCGCGGCAATCGCTCTCCGGAATTTCTATTTTTGAGACGGATTCGAGCTACAAGTGTTTCACGGGCTTTCTTAGCTTGAAGCCGCAAATTAATCAAGCAAAAAATATACCTTGACCAGTTTTGGTGAAATTGAGGACAAATCTTTGTTTTGCTTTGTTGGCGATATCGGGAAAGAAATTAAAATGTATTAGAGGTTCAGAATTTTCTCCACTTTAAGTGAACGAACAAACAGAAACGCTTCTCTTTGGCTTCATTTGATGGTTGGAATTTTATTTGGTCGTGCAACAGTACCCTAAGAGCAAAACCATACAAAGTGTGCGTGAATAAAATAACTTGTAGCGCAATTAAATTTCGAGGTTATTTTTTGTTTCAGTGTAAAAAACTGTTCGCACAAGCTAACGGAACACAAATGCAGCATGGTTTCTGGATTGTTCGCTGAGCTGGGCAATTTGATTGCAGACGTCTCATCACCAATCGAGGTGGCGTCATCAGTGCGTTATTGGGGAGTGTATTTGTGCGTAGCGGTGGGTTAGTGGTTGTTCGTTTGGTCGTGTCACGTGTGTGTTAATATACGTGCTGGTAGCCGGGGATGACCTTTGACCGCGATGAGTTGTTCCGCAGGGCGGTTCCATTGGTTGTTCTGTCATCCAGTGTCCTCTGCGATTATTTGTTCTGCCGGGCGGTTCCATTGGTTGTTCTTTTATCCCGTGTCCTCATTCGCCGATGCCCACATGACTTTGGGACTTGGCCTCCCTCGCCGTCGTAGTCTGGTCGGTGTTGGATTGACCTTTGTCCTTCCGAGTTCCGTTGTGGCCTTTATTGATTTGATTCCGAGGAGTTCCTTGTTTCTTCGTTTGTTAATCCATTGTTCGGTCCTCCTTGAGTGCTTCGGTTGCGATGTTGATCTCTCGCACGTAGAGGTGCATAAGTTGGATCCAGTTCGATGCACCGGTTGATTGAACCTGCCGTAGAGTAACCTGCTTCCAGAAATTCTCTTCTGTGTCGCGTGGCTATGCATGCCAAAATTTTCCCGTTTTTCAGATAGAATTTGTGGCCTTATTTGTCCTAGTGTATAGATACCAAGGACAGGTGGTCATGCCCCGTGACGGCCGCGTTGTCTTTCTTTATTCGTGTGCATGATTTCCTCCCAGTTTGTCCAACGTAGAATTTGTTGCAGTTGTTGCAGTTGATTTGGTATAACACATTGTTCCTCTTGGTTTCGTCCCGATTGTCTTCCAGTCTGGAGATTAATTTCCTTAGAGTGATATTCGGTTTGTGGGCCACGATGATCTCTTTTGGGACAACAAACTGGTTGCGAGTTCTGATATATTCTTGATGTAAGGTAGGATTACCCGTCTGGTGGCCTATTCTTGCTGTTGCTGGTGTTGAGATGTCTTCTTCTTCAAGCTTCACTTGATAAAACTCCTTGGATATCCATTTTTCTGGAACACTGAATAGGTGGTTTTCCTCCTTCTTCCGTAGTTCTGTGGTGCTGCAGTGTGCTCCGTCCTCTTGAACAAGGTTTAAACGCAGCTCTTTTTGTGGTTTACTGGATGATTGTTGTTGTAGTATGGTATTCGATCCGTACGGGTCTCTTTCCGGGATACGCAGGTTTCCAGAGTCCCATCCACCTTTCTGTTCACTAAGACGTCTAGGAATTGTACCCGATTGTTTCTCTCCAGTTCGATTGTGAACTTCTTATCTTCAAACGTTGTATGGAGCGGTTGATGTGCGTCGTGTACTGAATCCCGTTTCATGATGACAAAGGTGTCGTCCACGTCGCGGATCCACAGCTTTGGATTGTTGATCGGCAGTACTGCACGC